GGGCAGGGCATGGGGCTGTGTGTGGGCAGGGCATGGGGCTGTGTGTGGGCAGGGCAGGCAGGGGGTGTGTGGTGTGTGGGCTGGAGCTGCAGTGACCTGAGGCAGCTGGGGGAGCAGGGGCACTGGGCTGGCCTGGCACCCCTTCGCAGCATTAGAGGCATTTTACAAGGACAGGAACAGCTGGTGTTCCCTGCCCCAGAGTGAGAAATGGCCGGTGGGTGGTCAGAGCACCTGGCAGGCTGTGGCAGGCACTGGCAGCTGCTGCACCCTGCGCCCTGGGAGCACCAAGCTGCATTGCTGTCAGGGGGCTCTGTGCTCCAGGGTAGCCCCTGCTGCGGGCACTTGTGCCTCTGCTCCCACTGCCCGCRCTCCAGCTGCCTTCCCAATGCTGGCAGTGAGTAAAAGAGTTCCTCTTTGCCAAAAAAAGGGACTTTGGGGCAAGTGGAATGGCTCTCTCCAGCCTTGGAATCCAGATGAAGTTTCTCAGAGCTGGTGGTCTGTGCCCACCTCCTGCCAGCATGGATGGGAACAAGGCAGCAGCACAGTACTGTGCCACCAGCCTGCTCATCTCTGTGTCCTGCAGGTGCTCTGTGCTGCAGGGATGTGGTGCCAAGGGCACKGGGCACCTCTGGGGCAGAGCTGGCCTGGTCTTGAGCTGCCTTTAGGATTTGGAGCAGAAATGTGCATCTTTGCAGAACTGAAACTRTGCAGCCCAGAGGAAGAAAATGTAACAATTTTCCAGAAACTTCCCCCTCCCTTCCAAAAGGGATGCCTTGAGCTTAAAACAAAGCAGTCCATTTTAAACAAAAGACTAATGAAYCTGGTAGCCCTTGCTCTTTAGCAAGTTTAAACACCTCATCTTTCCTCAAAGAACAGCTCTAAATCATTTTATTTGCAAGCCCTAAGCAGGAATTTGTATTCATGGTAAGACACTTATTGAGTTAATTTATTTAAGGCTGAGGCATAATTTCTAATAGTGGAGGAGTCCCTAGGCCCAGTGCAATTGTCTCTCTGTTAGGGCATTAATATTTTATGGGGTTATAATACTCTGTCAATTGATCTGTGTCTTTTAGGAAGCAGGTTACCAGTTATTGATGGTCACTTGTGTGAAGGATTAGCTTAAATAAAGCTGGGGCTGGGCAGACCAGTGCCTGCCCCCAGGCCAAGTCCCAGGCAGGGAGGGGSCCCAGGGTCTGGGGCAGTGGATCCGAACAGAATGTTGAAAATGGGGAGGGAAAATAAGGCAGTGCACATCTGGAGGGTGCTGCTGCTGCCCTGCAGTGCCAGGCTCTGGCAGCAGCTGGGGCAATGCTGTGGTACCTTCATGTGGCTGCCAGTACTGTCCATCCGGATTTCTTGGAGAGATGTGAGCCTGGGTGTAATTTTGCAAGAAGGTGTTGATATATGTTCTGCAGGAGGCTTGTTTGTCTTGACAGATAGTCTGTTACTGATAGCACTCAAGTGACAAATAACTTGACCTCTGCTCTGAGTATYTTAATTTCTCTGTTCTTAGAAGTGGGCAATATTTATGCTATTTCTTGAGTGATTTAAAAGGAGGAAAATTCCAAATTTTAAAATTCTTATTTGTTTTACTACTRTATTTACCACTGTGTTGAATTCCACATTGCACTAAGAAATATGATGCTGAATGGCCTTTTTGAAAACAAGGTAATGTGGAAAGCAGTCCAGATTAAATACCTGTGGTGAATTCTGTCTCATGAAAGGGATGACAGCACCACTGAGACCCCGGCAGAGTTGGCTGGGGCCAATTCAGACCATCCAAGCCCCAGCTGAGAGCATCAAATTGAGGCAGGGCCATGGCCTGGGATGGGAGACAAGGTCAGCAAGGGCTGCAAAGCTGCTGCCAAAGGGTTGGCAAGAACTGACAAACCTGAAAGGATACCAAGGTGCCTTCAGAGCCTGTCACCTTCTGTTTGGTGTTTTAGCTTTTAGTTTTCTTATATCCTTCAGAGGCCCCAGGCTGGTGGGGAAAGCTTTGACTGCAGGAGCCTGAGTGACCCTGAGGCTGTCTGAAGGTGGCCATGTTGGGCCAACAGCTCTGCCCCTGGGACACCAGCACATAGCCCCTGTGCTACATGGAGCAAGTCCGAGACCAGCAGCATATGTGGCTCCTGGATATGAATCCAGTGCTGTAGTGGCAGCTACTGTGAGCAAGTCAGTGACAGCATTTCAGCTCTGAGTCTGCTTCCAGCCATTGTCCAGAAGTGACTCTGTTGGTGTTATGAAGTCCTTGCAGCTCTGAGGCCACCTGGGTGATGAGCACACAGGGACTGGTCACAGGCAGCCCTGCCATGCCAGAGGGTTGGACAGCATTGCTGGTGCTATAAAGGAAGGTGAATTGTTCATATTGAGCTGCAGTGGCCTTTTGTGGGTGTGTTCACTGGCTTTGAGGATAAGATTTTATTTATTCC